CCAGCCCCTGCCTGAAGCCTCGGAGGCCTGCTCATCCCAGCTCCTCTGCCAGGAACCCACCCCCCGGGCCCGAGACCTCCTTAGAATCCAGTAGCTGAGGGCTCATGCCTGGCCTAGCAGGGTCCCTAAGACCCTGCTCCAGACAGCGCTGGGGCCATGCATTCATGCCCCTACATTTGATGGGCATGTGGCTCTGACTTTAAAATACTGGAATGTCTCTTCTGGGAAAGCGCACTTACTACTATCATTACCAATTGTTTCACCTGAGTGTCCATGGCGAAGGGCGAGGGGGTGGTTGGTGATAGGTGGGTTCTCCCGTTCCTGGCAGTCTGGGTTTCCTCAAGGCTAATTAATAGGTCACTTGTTAGAAAATTTGACCTCATACTGTGTCTTTTTTACTGTTCATGCTGCCAGGGGGGGAAAGCCAGGCACAAAGGACACACCTTGTGTGATTCCATCTACATGAAGCCGAAGAAGAGGAAACGTTCAGTGAGCTACAAGGGGTCGGGAGGGGTTAGCCTTGGGGCACAAGCAGGCCTCTGGGGTGCCCATCTGTTCTTTTCGGCTTTGATCTGGGTGCTGAGACTGTAAAATAATAGTCACTTCAGAAAACAAATAGTTCCTTAAAGTGTTCAACTTGCAGTTACCACAGGACCCAGCAATTCTACCCAACGATATATGTAAATATTCATAGCAGTACTATCCATAATACCAAAAATCTGGAAGATAAAATGTTCACCCCTTGGTAAATGAAGAGAGAAAATCCAGTTTATCTATATACTGGAATACTATTCAGCAGTAAAAAGGAACAAAGTACCAATACATGCCACAACATAGGTAAACATGCCGAGTGAAGGAAGCCAGACAAAGACTGTGCACTGCCCAGCTGCGTTAACGAGACACTTGGAGGAAGGCAAATCCGTAGGCATGGAAAACAAGTCACTGGGGGCCGAGGACTGGAGACGAGCATGCGACCGACCACGGACGCGTGTGAGAACACGTTTGGGAGTGATGGAGATATTCTCAAAGTGGTTTGGGGTGATGGGTGCCCAACTTCATAAATTTACTAAAAATCACTGAATTACCATGTATTGTGGGTAAACTGTACAGTATGCAAATCGCACCTCAACAGAACACCAAAGTATCAAATCTTTCCGTTTTCAAATGTTCTCAACTAATCCAAATTCTTAATGGGCTTATGTCAAAACCAGAAACAAAAAACCCAAGTCTGCGGCACAAACCCCTGGAGCGCCAGTTTGCAGACTCGGCGCTAAGTGGCATCAGTAGAAATCTGAGTAAAATAAAAGCCTTGTCCTGCAGGAGTTCAGGATGCAAAGGGTGACAATGGAACAGTAAACAGTTGCAAAACCACATGATATTTTATGTCAATCATACCTCAATTAAAAAAAAACACCTCATGATGAATATGAGTGGTGTGTACAGCGGTTTGGGTCCAGGGCACTCCTGGCTCTGATGGGCTGGAGTCGGGGGCAGAACAGGGTCAACAGAGATTCAGGAAGTTGCATGGAACAGAATGGGCAAAGGCTCGGAGGTATGGAAAGCCAGTCCCTTCCTGCAGAGTGGGGGGGCTGGAGACCTGGTGCACCGGGAGAACAAAGAAGAGAGGAAGGCAGGGGCCAGGGGTGAAGGGCTTGGCGGCCTGTGTCAGAGTCTTTGGACAGAGGGTTAGGCAGGATTTATTGGTTGGAGAAACACAGGCATGCTTCTTTTGGCCCAAATGAAACTTTGTATATCTTGGCAATTTCCTATGGGACTCGTTTAAAAAGTATTCACTAATATACGGCTTATCATGTGTCAGGCGCTGTCTAGTCGTCTCTGCAGACTCACTCAATCCCATCAACAGTGGTTCTCAAACTCTAACCTGCGTGTGAAGCTTGTGGAAGACAACTTCAAACCGAGATCCTGATTTAGTAGGGCTGCAGAGGAGCCCAAGAATTTACATTTCAGTCTGGTTCCCAAAAGGGGATGCAGCTGGCCCAGGGAGCACACTTTAGGAGTCACTGCTTTACATCAACCTTGTAAGAAAGGTATTATTATCGTCACCAGCATCCCCATTTTACAGAGGAAGAAACAGCCAGTTAGGCTGCCTACCCAGGGCCACGTAGCAATCATTGATGGAGCTGGGATTTAATGGCAGGGAGTGTCTGCCATGCCTCCTAGTTCACAGGTTGCAAACAATCAGTTAATGGCTGGCGTTTTCAATCCTTGTTTGCAAGTATCAAAAGTATATTACACACACACACACACACACACACACACACACACACACACACACACACGGGCCTTAATTGACATCTGAGATAGAAGAATTAGAGGCACTAACCCATACCAAGAGGGTGGAGAGGGGAAGTCTTTGAGGAATTTTTTAGTCCATTTCAGTGAAGCAGTGTTTTGGTCCTACTGCGATGAAGCCAGGATTTAGAAATGCCAAGTATCCATGTAAAAAAAAGGACTACTTAAATATGTACAAGGAAATCATTGCATGAAACGGCACAGCTCAAAGCTGAAGTATACGTGAATGCTCAGTATCTGTTGTTTTAAATACATTTAAATTTTTAACTATGTTATGAAAACTGACAATAACTAGAGAAGATAGCCTTGCTGGTTTTGGAGGGTCCCAGGATAAAAGTGGGAATTCTTTCATGAATCGGCTTGCTTTTCACATCTTGATCTCCTTCATGGCATCTCCCTGGTTTCCCTCCAGTGAACAACTTCTTCCTTCAACTGGTGGCATTATGTTATTTTTGAGATCTGAATCACAGAGGCTGTAACGCAGGCCTGCATGCTCCATCTTGTTTTGCAGAGTGCTGTATATCTAATTAAAGCTTCCAACCAGTCCATAAAAAGACCTAACATTAAAAAAAGCAGTTAGTGTTGGAGACGGCCCCGGGGCCAACCGGAGAAGAGCTTTCTTCATTAACAACAAACACATTTACTTAAATTCAAAATTAAGTAATAATACGCTAATTTGCACTGGAATATTTTTAAATATTGCCTAAGCATAATCGGATGGTGTTACCCCATTTATGGTGTGGAACCGAAAATGGGTCATATTCTAGCCAGCAGCACTCCAGCCTCTCCAGAAACACTGGGGATGAATAAATGATTTACCACGTGGAGAGTTGGAGCTGACTTTATTTAAATCAACTTATTATTCTGTTCCTTTTCATTTACTGTTGTGCTATTCTCATGCCCTTGTTTTCCTTACAGAATGTATTCAAAACCAGAGTTACACCGCAGCAATATAAATACTCCGCCTTCTACCGGCTTATCTGTGATGGCCATTGTTTCGTGGTTACTGTTTCATAGCTCAGGGCTGCTGACCTGTTGGCGGAGGGCCTCGCCACCTGCATTCCCTTGGGAGACCATTGGAATGGTCTTTTTCCTCCTTACGTGACTACAGGCTGCCCTGAATGGTGACCCCCCTAGAGAGGACAAGAGCAAGGCTTCCCAGGCTTCCAGCAACAAACCAAATTAGCAGCTCGTGCTTAACATGCTTCTAGAGTTAGAATGTCAATGTCAAAGCGAGACTATTTTACTATGGTCTTTCTAAGTCAGAGCGTCCCCAGAGTGGGGGTCTTGACTCAGCCCTGAGGGGCAGAGGCCCCGCCTGAGGCCCACAGCATGAGGCTTTCCCCAGCCCAAATGATCCATCAACCCATGCTAGGGCATTAGGGTAACTGGGAGTCCCCCTTTGATAGAAAACCTTGGGACATTACCCTGAAGATTCGCACCTCCCAACAATCCACTTGTGCTTCCCAATGGTCTTGACATGCAAAGTTGGTGCTGTGGAGTCTAGAGAAAAAAGCCTCCGACATTTGCCAACAGAGACATTTGCTAAAGCCATCTAGAATTGGCTTCTCCATCCAATTGAAGCAAACTTGGGGAATCCAAGCAGCTTTTTCTTTTGGCTTGTGTCCTTTTCGAGGGGTCCTTTCGTAGGGGAGGGTTCGGGAAGAAGGGATAAACGGAAAAGCAGGTCAGTGAACCCTGGCATCAGGCAATTTGGCTCCCTTCCGGGAACGGGCACTCCACTGAGCACCAGGCTTCCACTTCCAAGGTGGGAGGCTGGAACCCCTGGGGCCTACTCCTCTGGCCAGCACTAAGCTCCATTCTGGAGCTGAACCATCAGTGCCACGGTCAATGCCCGGCATGTTCACATCCCTGAGTTCATATGCTGAGTCCATGACCTTCTGCCTTTCAGTGCTGTTTCCTGAGGGGGCAGCCTGGTCTGGCCAGTGCCTCCTGCTGGCTTTTAAAACCAGCGCTGCATTCAGATGCTGAGCTGTTCTTTTTGTTTACCGTGTTTTGCCATGCATAATACGCTCCCGTGTGTAACACCCACCTGTGTTTCAGTACTGATTCCCATGGGTAAGTCACTTTATCCATGGGAATGAGCACTTATGTATAATGTGCATCCTTATGTTCCCCTAAAAAATTTGGGCCCCAAGTGCGCATTATACACAGCAAAATATGGTGAATAGCAACAAAATCAAAACTCCTTCAAATTAGGTTCCCGGGGGGAAGAAGCTGTAGGGGGGGAAACCCCATGTACATGTATACATATATATATGAATGTATGTATACATATGTGTGAATGTATGTTTTTCTCTCCTTGTTTAAAACTGGATGAGAGATGGGGGGAACCTTTAAAAGGGTAAAGTGGGTGTAGCCCTCAGGCCCGCGCCCCGGGACACAGAGTCTGGTGCGGGCTTAGTCCTCTCCCTCCGATTTCCCTCGACAGCTCGCGCTACTTTTCTCGGCCGTTGTCCTGCGGCCCCTCTCCTCCTCCGGCTCCTCGTCCGCCTAATACCGCCAGCTGCAGCCCAGACTGGCGATGGTCTGGAGGCCAGCAGGATGCCCTCTAACAGCCCGCGCGCCGCTGCCCGCAGGTGCGCCCCGCCCCTCCCGCGACCCCGCCCCGCAGTCACGTCACAGTGACGGGAGGTCCGCGCAGGCGCAGCTCAGCCCCACCCCTCCCCGCCGCCCGGCTGCCCGCCCGCTCGGTATTATGATTAGCTCTGGGTGCGGGGAATCGGCGGCCGGGAGGGAGTCGTCCGGGCCACGGTCGCTGCAGACGGACGCCCGCCTTCGGGCTGAGGTAAGGGGAGCGCCGATCGCTGCCGGGCAAGGTGGCCCTGGGCGGGAGTGCGAGGCGGGCCTCCGCTGCTGCTATCTCCGCGGTTGCGGGGCTGGGAGCCCGGGCCGGGCGCCCGCCGCAGGCGGAAAGTAAGTTGCGCGCTCCGCGCTCCCTGCGCCCGCGGCAGCGCGGGCCCAGGAGGGTGCGGAGCCCGAGCTGTGGCGTCCCCGACCCCAGTGCTGCGGCGGCGCGGCCTGGCAGCGGGGCGGCGGCGGGGCCCCGGCGGGAGCCGTCACTGCGGCGACCGGCCGCGGGCGCCCGGAGGCCCTGCCCTTGCGGCCGCGGCGGGATTGCGGCACCTCGGGAGGCTCCCGCATCCCCTCCCCGCCCCGGAGCGGGCCGAGTGCGGCGCCCGCCGGGCCCCGCGCCTCAGCCAGGCTCCCCGAGCCCAGGTTCTCTCGTGCAGTGTGTATTCTCCTCCGAATGTGTTTTCATTTTTCAAACGAATCTAGAAATCCGGCCGCAGTAAGGGGGTTCCTCGGTAAAATTGTAGCCTTACAATAGAATGAGGATATTGTTGTTGGTAGAGAAAGGGCATCGGGTAAGGAAGGAGGAGCAGTGCCGTTCCCGAGGGAGAGCTAGAATTTTTTCACGTTGGGAAACCTCCGATCTTTTCCGTAGTCATCGCCTGTTGATTTCTTTCTGGACCATTTTACAAAAACCTACTGCCTTTTACTTGGACTTGAGATCCAGGAAAGTGGCAGCCTTTTATCCTGGGGGGTTCGTGGAGCCGTGCTGGTCCTGCCAGTTGGGTCAGATATAACCCAATAGCTTCATAGGGAGTTTGGTTCCTGTCCGGTATTGGGGTGGCGCGGGGGGCGGGGAATTTATCAGCAGGGTCCTTAAATTACAGTTGTCTGTGGATATAGGACCTGTCAAAACTGTCAAGTTACTTTTCCCCCACTCCAGTTAATTGAGTGCATTCTCAAAGTCTTAGGGGCCGATGTTAAAGCTGACTTAACAGACGGACTCGTTTTATGGTGAAAGGTGAAGCATGGCTTTCAAGTGATGGAACCTCAAAGGCTGGACATCCTGTTGAATTTCCACCCAGTTCCTATCGAACATCAGATTCCTCAGTGTGGGTTCCTTGTACAGGTTGGGAACTAGTCCCCAACTGGTCTCATTTACCAGAATGTATATCAGTGTACTTTAAAGCCCGGGCTTATCAACGCTTATGCAATCACTTCGTTAATTTATAATCTTGTTCCATTGCTTTCCAGATTTATAAAATCATTCCCTTCAGGAAATCTGTCTTCAACGTCTGCTTAAATATTTCACTTGGAATTGAATTCCTGAAGAGGAATGTACTGTACAAGTGGAAATTAAAGCATACTAATTAGACAAGGGCCTTAAAAAAAAAGTAGTGATTCTTTTAGCTGACTCTCCAATTTTCCCTGTTAGGAAAACATGACATTCCCATTTAGCAGAACTTGACATGAGAGAAGTTCTGTGACATTCCCAAGGTCATGTATTGAAGCAGTGTAGTAACTGAAAATCAACTGCACGGTGTTAACTTTCCTTAATGCTCCACTTTCAGGACTTTCTGATCAGGGACTTTGAGGGGCCCCTTTCAATTTTTGATATTTACACAATCTCTTTTTCATTATATTTTGTGCACAAAAATTACTCTCACCTTATGAATGTTACTATTTTGAGTGAATTTTTATTGCAGGAAGACCCACTCATTTAAAACACACTTGAACTCAGAAGTTAGACAAATTTGCACTTTTTCAGAACATCAATATAAATGGGCTCGTAGGATTTAATCCCGTGATCCAAGAAGGAAGGCTTTGAACCGTCCTTATTAAAATGGAAGGGTTTGATATTTTTACTGGGTGGGGGAAATACTCGTCTAAAGTTTACTGTGGTTGTTTCATGTGAAAGTGAAACTAAATAGAAAAAAAAGGTGTTTATTTTTGGAGATACCCAGCAGCCCTGGTTCTCAGCTTTGGTATAAATAAGGCCACAATTTCTTTGCTGCAGCAGCTTGTCGGAGCCCAGGCGCTCCCTGCACTGCCCAGGAAGGAAAGGGGACAAGTGAATGTTCCACAAGGCCAGGATTTTAGGAATTACAAACATAGGTAAGGAGCTCTAGGGACTTGATTTAACTGTATGCCAGCTGTTTGCTTAGCAACCAAAAGATAGAATTTTAGCCAACATGCTTTTACAGGAAAACTATTATTGAGGATTTAGGTACTTCCCAGCCTGTGTCTATGCGCAGGTAAATCCTTAAGAGCCACTTAGGTGGAAACGTTGACTGGATTCTAGCAGTTCTGAATGCAGACTTAATCTGTGATCATTTATTTATGGAGTCCTTTTGTGTCTATTTTTGGGGCCCCAGGCTAGAGCGCAGCAATAGAAAGGAGCGCACAGGCTATTGGGGACTCCAAGGTAAACAGTAACAGTAGGGTGTGGTGACTGCTTTGGTGGGGCCTGGGCAAATCCCCCTGGAAGCACAGAGGTGGGGACAAGGCATCTGACTTGGGAATGCTTCACAGAGATGGGGACGATTAAACTCTTGGAGGATAGGAAGAGTCCCCAGGCAGAGAAAGGGGGAGAGGGCTCAGAGTTCAGGGAGGCCGAGAAGGTAGGGCCAAGTGGAGGAGGAGGGACGGAGCTCCAAGTGGGTGAAAGGGAGTTGGGGAAGTGGAAACAGTGCAGCTGTTCTTTTTTTAAGGAATCTAAAGAGGACGGGGGAGGAGCGGGGCAGGAGCCCTGGGGACGGAGGGCAAGTGCCCTGGCACTGTGTTTCCATTTGGAAAGAGCGGGTGTAAAGTGCCTCGGCCCCGGGCCACATGAGGGAACGCGGGAGGAGTGTGCCGGAGCGGCGTTGTCGGCACTGCGCGTCCTTTCCTCATCTGCTTTGCTGTACATCTGTTTGGGGTCAAGGCCCTCTGTCCCGTGGGAGACCATTGCCTGCTGGTGGGACGGGAGGAACCCGCCTGAAGCATTTCTGCTCTGCCTTCCCTGAACATTTATTTCTCTGCTGTCACTTCCAGAGCCTCCTGAGAGTCCGCTTTGGCACCTCCTGCATTTGGCCTCTGCTCAGGTAGGCCCTTCCTCGGTAAATCAGGCCTCGTTCCCTCTCCTTACTTGTGTCGTACCCTGCCCCCAGCCGGCTGTGCCGTGGCTGCTCAGTAGCTATTTCAGAGTCGGAAGGCATTATCTGCTGTGATGTTTACGTTCCGGAGCGTCTGCAGCCTCTGGCAAGGTGGGTCTGTCTGTCTTTCTAAATACAGACACCCTCAGCTACGTATCAGCCCAGAAATGTAACACGGGTTACGAAATCAGTGTTCCAGAAGCGCAGGTTATGGGACATGCAGCGGATCAGATCATAGCCTCAGTGGGCCTCCTTCCTGGGCGGTGGACGTGCGCTCATCTTTCCCAAACCCTGGAGACGGCCAGCACCCGGAGGGCAGAGCCCACTTCTGTGATTGCTGTGTCCCCAGACCAGAGTCCTTCCTCTGGTGTTGCCACGCTACACGAGAAGTGTCTCAGTGAAGAAACTTTAAAAACCTGAGCTTTAGCTTGTGGATTTTTGTCAGCCTCATTCAGAGAAACCACACCCATCCTGACACAGCGGGGCTGGATTTAAGTCCTGGACCATCAGCACTGGAAGCGAGTCCTCTGCTCGGTGCTGACACGGACTAGGTGCTCAGGAAATGTGTGCTCCAGTCCTGGATTCCAGCCGGAGGGCACGGCACACCACCTGCTAGCTGTCTCCGCGAGTCATTCTAAATCCCCGTCTGCTCTGCCCCCTGTGCGTTGGGTTTTGGGGTTTTACTTCCTAAACCTGTCTCCACCATTACCTCCCCCTCCTCATCGCTGCCCAGAAACTGGTGGCCCTCATTTTTAAGTTTTTAAGGCTTCGTTTACCTGGAGCTGCTTCCAGTTGTCCCCTTGCCTGTCGCCCAGCTCCAGATGGGCCTTTCTGTGTACTCTTCACTGTGCTGCCGGAGCGGTTTGTTGAATTCTCTTCCCTGATTGTTGCCCCTACTTCTTTCGCTTCCTGGTGCCAGCTTTCATTTGTCCGTGTGATAAAATGTGTCTGTGTACAGCAGGTGCTGGGATACAGAGCTGAATAAAACAGACGTGGGCTGGACTTACCATTTATTCTCGTGGAGGACACACGTTACTTATCCCATCGTCACCAACAACTGTGTAACCACGGTGGTGACAAGGGCTGTAACAGAGAAAGACGAGGTGCTATGGGAGGGCACAGGGCGTGGCTGCGGGCGATGTGGAGAGGCTGTCAGTCCAAAGGTGACCTATACAGCCCGGGCAGGGCTGGCCACCAGGCCCGAAGAGTATCAGCCAGTTTGCACGGATTAAAGGTCGTGGGGTACCTGGCACTCGCCTCCCTGTCTGGCCTTGTCTTCCTTGCTCGGCATGAATTTTTGTCCCAGACCCACTAAGCTCTCTTGAGTCTCTTCTGGAAGGCCGTTTCCCCACCATCACCATTTTCAAATGCAAAGAAGTCAGTCTCTCTGAGCTCCCTCCTACGAAATTCCCAGGGCTGGTACAGGGGAAGAACAGCTCATCCGGCATGTCTGTTCCAAGAGATCGTAAACACCTTGAGGCAGAGACCCTCCTCGAGGCTCCAGTAAGGTGTCTGGGGACAAGGGTGAGGGTGCTGATAGCAAAATAAGATGGGGAACTAGGTGCACAGCCCCTGAAACAGTGGGCTCTCCTGCCAGGAAGGCCAGTGCCGAGAGGTTGTGCAAGACGTTGCGTGATTTTGGCCCCCCTTGCTCATTCGTACATATTTTCCCATGTAGCTTTCATAACAACTGTGCAAGGTGGCGATTGTCTGCGTTTTATAAAATCTCGCCTGTGTTAGGAGTTGGGTGATGCGTTGGGCTCCGGATGCTGTGGTACTCGTCGCACTGCGCTCTGATGCTGCTCCTTCTGTTTGCTGCATAAGTGGATTTCGATCATTTTCAGAGTGCGCCTCTGTGGTGAGTTTAATCAGAACAGTTGACCGAGTTGTGTTGTGAGATGCCGGATCTTAGGACGCTGGCCCGGCTCCTCTTGGGTGTCCTGCCCCATGTGTGTGCACACACCTGTGGGGCCGTGATGCCGTCTCCGTGTGGCGTAGTGAAGGGGACACGTTTGCATGACGTTGCCTGCCTTTATTGAATGCTCTGCCACATTGGTACTTCTGGATCAGAGAGATTGTATTTTAGATCACATCAGTTTCACGGTACGACTTCTCTGAAGTTCATTTTATTTTTTCAGTTGCAGTGGACATTCAATATTAGTTTCAAGTGTGCCACATAGTGATTAGACACTATCATAACTTACAAAGTGATCATCCCGATGAGTCTAGTACCCACCTGGCACCATACGCAGTTATGACAATATTATCAACTGCGTTCCCTGCCCTGTACTTTATGTCCCTGGGAGATAATGTACATTTTGGATCATGACTCCTGACAAATAATGTGTGGACACATTACCTTGCCGGAGTGCAGTGTTTTCATGGTTCTCTTTTTAAAATAGTCAAGATAATGTACAGGCTTTTAATTAGTTTGTTTATTCGGGCCCAGGCAGAGTGGGTGCATTTTGAGGTGCGGGGCAGCTTTCTGCTGCGGCGCGTTCCCCGCAGGTCGGACGGTTCTCTCCAGTCAGCACAGAGAGGACCACTCCAGTCAGGAGAACCTCTGGAGAAGTTCAGGGCAGAGTATTGAGTGTGCAGTTGTAGGGCTTGAGTTTGTCCTCAGCTCACCTGTTTTGTGAGTATTTATTTGCTAATCCTCTTGTGAAGGAAAATCCCTTTTCAGAAACAAATGGCGGGAATGTGATTTGCACAGTACATTAAAATTGCAGTTTCAGAAAGGATAAAGTTTTGAAGGAGAAACTGAACCTCCCTCAATTTTCCCCGAATTACATGCTTGCTGTCGGCTGTTCTGTGCCACCGGGAAGGGATCTTGCTGTCACAAAATTGTGTGCAAACTCCAAAGGTGGAGGTACTGACAAGGTACTGTTCCATTTTTAGATGACCAGTAATGACCTCCGCTTATCTTTTGCAAGGTTATTTGGCTATAATTTCCTTTCTCCACTTAAAATGCAGTTTCTAAACATTGCAAAAAAGTATCTGATGGAGTTACTTGTTACTGATGTTTATAGGTGAGTCTTTGGTGATGCCAGGTAGTGTTCTCCTTTTGATTAATTGTTGGGGCAGGTGACTTACCTGCATGGCTTGTCAAAATTGGAAAAACAGCGAAATGTCAAAATAGATTTGATTTAGTGTTGTTGTTGCTGGGAATTAGAAAGACCTGGTTTGGGGGGAAGGCAGTCTTATCGCTGGGAGGGATGTGGGTTCCTGGGCTGGGCCAGGGATGGAGGGTGGGGGGTGGGACCAAGGTCCAATCCTGGCAGCTCTCTCCTGAAGTCCTGCTGGGGCAGAGGAAGTCCTTAGCTTCTATGACCCCGCTCTCTCTTCTGTATGATGGGAACGGGTGCCTTTGTGTTGCTGGTTGTGAGGAATCAATGGTAGAACAATATAAAGAGTCCACTCCTTATGTAGATGCCCAGTAAGGAAATTGTTTACTCCTTCTGAGACCTGCATGGAAACAAAACCGGAATTCCAAAAGGAGCGTTTGTGGCGGTGAAAGACATTTCTAAAACCTGAAAGGAGACAGAGGCCACTGTGGTTTAGCTATGGGACTCATTTCTACGTGAACATGTTGATAGGGTAGATTTTTAAGAAAGTAATATAGGTGGTAATGAGAGATCAAATGAGTCCAAACAAACCAGAAACTGGTGTTTTATGAGACTTTAAAGTGAATAGTGAACTTTTTAATTGGTTTAAATTCTCTAACAACCTTACATGACATTGCTTTCACATTAAGAACCTAAAGGCTTTTTCTCTTCTGTTGAGGCCTCGTCCTTCAAAGCTGCTTCTGTGCAGTGTTAACTCTTTCATGACTTTAATTAACCTTAAGTATAATTCAAACTCAACACGTGAGTTATTGAGTGTGGCAAGTTTCCCATCGGTCTTGAATAGGGGAGAGTTCGTCACAGTTGCCTACATGGGGAGCCGTTACGCATTTTTCAGGAGCAGCCTTCTTAGCCCGACTAAACCTGTCTTGTACCCCAACTCACAGCTGCTCGCACGCTGGTGTTCTCCTCTCCAGAGTCAGCCAGACTCTGTGGGCTGCCCCTGTCTGTGGGGGTCCCGCCTCTAGTATCCTCTCCTCTTCCTCTGACATACCTCGCCGAGGCTGACTTGTATGGTTTATCTTTTTAATGTGTAGGTAACTTATTTGTAAGATTCTAAAGGACAGGGACTGGGCTGTGCTCTAAACAATCGGGGCTCAAATAGTTGCTGATGAAAACAGACTTGGTGTCCCTGCCCCTCCCTCGGTCTGAAGGAGCTGCGACCCTGGTCCCTCAAGGGAGGCAGAGTATGTCACTGAATGCCTTGTCTGTTGAGACCGCGTAAATGGACTTCAGTCATCTCTTCAGGGAAATTGCTTTACTTCAAAGATCTCAGCGCAAAGTAAATTGAGTGAAGAATTACGTACAGAAAGTCAAAATTGTAGTAACCTCCCCCTTCCCTAGATTGTAAAAGCAGCACACGCTCACTGCCAAAAACTGGAAAAGAACAGAAAAACAGAGAGAAAAAAATTCTATAATCTTGTCAATTTAACAGTTGTATTTTTTATGCATATGTGCAAATTGTATACTTTTTCACAAAAGTTGGACTCCTGTGCCATGAAATTTGGTCTGTGAATTTTTTTACTTAGTGTTTCACTGTGCAGTTTGCCCACGAGAGGAACTGGCCTTGCGGCACGGCGGCGCTTTAGGTGTGCCACGAGTTAGCCGTTCTGTTATTCCAGACCTTTGGTCGCTTCTGATCTTTTTGTTTTTGCATATATAAATATCACTGAGCATCGTTGAGTATAGACACTTGTCTGTGTCTTTGTTTCACTAAGACGTAAATCTAGCAGTAAGATTTTAAAATCCTGAGCATTGATCGTTTGAAAGCCCCTGGTACCTGTATTGCCAAATTGCTCTTCAGGAAGGCGGTTTGCGGGCCCAGTGTGTGAGAGGGCCCCCCAAACGATGCTGCCTTTTCAAAGTCAGTGAAGTGTTGGGTGCCAGTATTTTTGTCCATTTTACTCTGTTCCAGAATTTTTTTTGACCATGTCTTAATAATCATTTTCGTCACAGTATCAGGGGTGGTGGGGGGTATGGTAGGCAGTTAAGATGGGTTTTGACAGTGTTAATAAAAGCTTTGGAAGAGAGGTCTTGATTATTAGGTTTCTAAATTCTATATAACTTCCAACTTATGTTCAGTTTGTCTAGCAGTACAATAATTGCGGGTTGACTTTATTTATTTTGGAGTAATTTCTAGGTGCCAGTGTTTGCTTAAGTCATTATTTGTTCTGTGAGTGCTTTATACCAGGGCTGTCACCGTGCTAATTTTTTATGTGTCATTTCCCCTTAGGTAGACACAGTGACATGCTTAGCAGTTTCATCACCTTAATGAGGGGCAGTACCTTTTAGGAATTTGAACTTGTTACCTGTGCTGCTGCTCCAGGTTCTGTGACTTGGATGTTAACCTCTTTATCTCCACAAACACTGAGTACTACTAAGTACTACTACAAACACTAAGTACTACTATAAACACTAAGTACCAAGTACCACAAACACTAAGTATTACTCTATGTTGGTTAATAAATCTCCTGGCTCCTGAATACATTCCAGTTCCTTGATGTATCCTGGACTGTGGCTTGTTTTACTCAGGAAATAAAGAGTACTCAAACCAGCACTTCAAGGCATCCATCTGCACTGGCCACCCAGTCACTGCCTGCGAGGCTGCAGCAGGTGTTTCAGCCCGGCATCCTGGCCACCTCAGTGATCCCCAGTCCATTAAAATTGGTGGCTTAGAAGAAAGCTTTAAGAACATGCATCAGTAGGCACACTTTCCACGGGGAAATACTCTTGTAGACATTTGGAGATACGGTTTCTCCTGGTCGGACATTTTTCATAGTTGACTTTAACCTTTTTGTGTGTGGTTCCCATCTTAATTCTATCCAGCGACTGCGGACTGATACCCCTGATAACCATGGAGTAGTAATCAGCCAATCCAGTGAGAAACTGTGGCTTCTTCCGTGACCCTAGGACCTGTGTCTTCATCCTCGACTTGTAGCTCACAGCGGTACCTGCCGGAGGTGTGCTGTTCTAGAGAATGTGGGGCATCGCTCACTGTGGTTCAGGAGAACCGCAGCGGCAACAGCTGGGAGGGCCGCGCCTCTTCTGCGTGGCCTGCCGGTCGTTGATGCTCCGGAGGGTTTGGCCTTTGTCTTCCTTTCGGCCTCTGCCCTGTTGTCGTGGACGCCTTCGGAGGTCTAGCGGTAAGGCCAGGGCGGCGGCGCCCCTGAGAGTGTTAGTTCCTCCGCTCAGGTGGGCTTTTCTGTGAGCATGCAGTTTACTGTGGTGTTTCCTGAGTCAGAATTACAGTTTTCATTTGTTTCATGTTTGTAGGAAATAGCCCGGTGATTTCCACGTGTAAGAGGCGTAAATACAGCTTTGGTGTGGCTTTTCAAAAACTCACCTTTTAGTGATTTGTATGAGAGTGTGCAGATTTTTTTAAGAGCATGTCATGTGGGAGGTTTCTGTGCATTTGTAGATTGGTGGTCTGATTTTGTGGGGAAAAGTATACTACCCCAAACAAAACAGAGAGCGGCTGGAGAGGCGGCCTAGGGTTGCACGTGGCCCCGTTCGTTCGACGCCCCTCCTTTCTCTGGCTGTGGTTTGGTTCCCAGTGGTTCCCCAAGGTAGAGCCTGTTGGTTCAGGTGGCCGTCCTGTCCTCCTCTCTCCTGGGGGTGGTGGGAGTGGTGACATTGTTTGGTGTGCAGACCAGGCTGTGTCGTGATGATATCAGGGAAAGGCTAAAAGTGAATTTTGATGACAAGAACAGGGTGAGTTCCAAAACGGCAGGAGGTGGAGCAGAGGCTGGTTCTGAACTGTTTTCAGCAGCTTGCACAATGGGTGCCGGGCCCACCGCACTTCCTTCCTCTGCAGCCACACCCGCACGCGCAGTGGCTCCTGCTCCCCGAGCTGGGGCCGCAGCAGCATCTTTTTGCAACACAACCTCACCGCAGGTGTTCGGAACGCTCTTGACTCCTTCCTCTTAGGTTCTGTTTCTCTTAGGTTCAGCCGGTCTCTGCCTGTGTGAGCAGGTGCTCCGTCAGAAGACTGCTTTACAGTGACCCAATTTAGTGGTTTTCCTGCTGTAGACGATGTCATCTTAGCTACACAAGTCATTCAAAATACTGATTTACTGTAGTTGAGGGCATGGGAGAAGGCTCGCCATGTCAAGGAAAAGTAGTTACTGCCCTTCACCTGCAACCTCTTGGTTTTGTACAGAAGCGTAGGTCTCAAGGGTGTACACTCAGGTCTAAAGGGAGGCCACCTGCGTGACATTGCAGGGGGGCCTCTGCCCTCACTTGCGCCGTCCTGCATTCTCCAGATACTCTCGGGTGAACTTGTTTTGTGGGGAGAAATACTTAGAAATGGACGCAACCACCCACCCTCCCCTGTGTCCGTGCGCGCATGTGTGAGTGTGATCCACGCTGGGGCAGACTTGCGTCTGGGCATCCACGACACACAGAAGACAGCTCGGAAGCAAAATGTGTAACAGAGATTACCACGGAGGGTAGAATAATGGGCGAGTTTTTGAAGTTCTCCTCTTTTTGCCAATCTATATGTTCCAATCGTAATTTTTCCTGCATCGCACGGATGTTTCATAATGGAAACAAAAATGCTAGAGGGGAAGTGATGGAGCAGGTGAGGTGCTGGCGGCCAGGGACACCGTTGCGTGTCCTCACTGCTGCAGTTTCTGAAGCGGAAACTGACCATACGGAGAGACCGGGCCTTGCCCAGGCCCCGCGGCCAGTGACTGGTCAGCTGGAACCCCATTCTACAGTCACGGGTAGAGTGGTCGCACCTCGGTTACACAAAACGGAGAGGGTGTACACGAGCATCCGCAGAAAGACCACCAAACAAAATGTTAGTAGTGCTAATCTTCGCTGGCAGGGCTGTGGCTGCCTCTTTACTCTTCCTGCTTTCTAGTCTGTATTTTTGAGATTTTTCTGCAAGAATATATTACTCTGGTGGGGAAAAATATAAAGGAATAGTCCTTTTTTGAAAGAATAGACTTGATAGAAGTCATCTTAGTATCAATTTAAAAGCAAACGCTTAGATTTTGTGCAGTTTTACTGAAAACTCATCAGACTTTGACACTCAACTGGAGAGCACCCATTTTCGATTTAATACATTTTAGGAAAAATGAGCAGAATTCTCGTGAAAGCCGAAGAGAGACAATAGCTGGGTAGATTCATTCTTGTGAGGTGGAGGGGGAGACTGGAAGAACTCCCGCCTGGGTGAGGGGGCGCCACCATCAGAACAGGGATGGTGGTGGTGGTAAACGAATGCTTGCTCTGTGCCAGCTTTCACGCTGAACACGTGGCTGGGCCAGTTCACGTGACCCTCACCACGAGGCGTGAGGGTCTGTCCTCACTACTACAGTTTCTAATGTGGAAACTGACCATACGGAGAGACCGGGCCTTGCCCAGGCCCCACGGCCAATGACTGGTGAGCTGAGACCCGAGTCCAGTCGCTGACCTTCAGACAATGCCAGCCCACTGGGCCATCACACCAGCTGGCTACAGAGACTGAGGGTGAAACAGAGGCCACCAAAAAGGAGCAGCAGGTGCAGGTGATGGGAGGAGCTACTGTACCCCCTTGGAGCTGAAGGACCAGGTGTGTCCCTGGGCCCACCTGCACTAGACGTAGGCCTGTGCCTGACTTTGCCAGCGCCCTGTTTTGTGCTGTCGAACCTCTCTCTTCTCTCTTCATCCTTCTCTCTTCATCCCCTCATTCCCAGCAATGAACTTGTTTTCACACTCACCTTTCCCTTCTGCTTTCCACACCTCTTTGCACTCTCTTTCTCCCAAGCTCCTGTGAACTTGAACTTAATGATTGCCTAGATGCTCACCTATAGTATACTGTGTATCTTGCCTTTGGCCTGGTATGGGTGGGTAGCCTCTCAGTTATCTGGGTGCTATTTCAGTGTCCTGTAAGGCCACCTCAAGTCAGCACTCCCCTCCCTCACTGGGCCACGGCCCTAGACACCAGTGACCTGTTCACGTTCTCTTTGTCCGTAGTGACCACACTGTCCATCTGCACTGTCCCATGGAACACGTCTAGTGCAGAGGGGTTGTGTGTGTTCCCTGGTGGTGGCATTGTCATTGATTGTGCTGGCCTACTGAAGGCTCCGGTTGGAAAGGCTGCCCGCCTGAGCCTGGAGGGGCTTCTGCGGGCAGGTGGGGCTTGGAAGCCAGGCCGAGCAGGGTGGAGCCACACACTGCTGCCTGGCGAGCAGCTTGCGCCTCCCTGTGCCTGCCTTGCAGGCTCTGAGCGAGGAGGGTTCTGGGAAATGCGGATTTGGTGTCTGCTACCCAGTAGGTGTTTAGAAAATAACTAGTTTCCTGTTGTTTGTTATTATTCTTCCTCCTTCCAGTAGAATAACCTTTCTGACCCGTCTACCTGGAATGTTCTCTGTGTATCCGTTCACTGTGGAATTCCTGTGGACCACAAAGATTCCTGGAACGGGCCGCAGTTCATAGAGGGGGGAAAGACATGGGAGCCCGGGTCACTAAGGACAAATAGGACATCTTTGTATGTTCGGATCCAGCCTTAGGGTATATATTTTGACTTGAAGCAAAGTTAAAACAAATAGAACTAAACTAAAATCTCTGTGTTTTCTTTTAGGAGAAAGACGCACTTAAGAAAACAGAGCAGTAACAAGGACCGTTCGGAACACAGTTTGCAGGGTATGTGTCGGAGCCGGTGCAGTCGCCTGACTCTCTGGAAGCCGTGTCTTAACCCTCGGCGCTGGTTCACAGGGCTTTCCAGGCTCTGCAAGATCCTCAGAGATCGAAAACAATGTAGTCATTTCCTGTGCTAATTTAAAATACCCTTGATAGTGAGATTAGACAGGGGGCTAATATTTAAAAGGACGCTCAGTAACAAGGATGGTTTTTTCTCCCAACCTTCCGTGAATTATAATATCCTATTTTTAGGTATACAATTGTAGTTTTGTAGACACTGAAAAAGGGATATGTGTAGGAAAAAAAGTGAATTCTTTGATAGTTTGATAGTGAGAGTAAGTGATCATTTCACTACGGGGCAGTCTGTCACTATGAAGCGATCCTATAAGATTCTTTCCCACAATGAACTTGCAAGTAGATTAAAAATTCTTCGAAGCGCCCTTTTGCCAGTGCAGTTCTAGGGAGAAGAGACGTGTTAATGGTGGTTATCTCTGGGTGCCCTGAAAAGGGCTTTTTTCCTTATCTCTTTATTAATTTATCACCTTAGTAATTAAACGTTTTTAACTAATCAGATTAAGTTTCAATGTAAACAAAGAGATTTTTAAATAAAATGTGATTTATATTCTACTTTCCAGGATTACATCTAAAATAAAGTAATAGATGAAAAAAAAATATGTACCTTGGGGGCAGACTGAAGAAGTTTGTTTTATAACTAAAGTTGCATTTGTGAACTTGTAGAATAGAAACTTCGACTTGGATAGAATTTTAAGAATAGTTACTGCCCTTATAATTAATTGAAGTTAAAGATTTAAAGATAATTTTCTACCCCCTGGAGCTAGCTTAGAGTTCTATTTTTGAACATTAAATATGCTCAAATGTTTTTGGGTGGAAACTATTGTCCAAATAAAACAACATCTTACCATTTGGATTTTCCTTTTAATCTTATTAAAATTATTAACTCTGATGCCAAAGATAATACACAGAATAAAAGAAATTTGTTTTTCCTGGTACCTATCCCGAGTACTGATTTCTTATTTAAAAAATCGTAATAGAAACAATCATTGAGTTCTGGGTTCTGAAAGAAACAGTGTAGCACAGTGGTCGGTTATAGACTTTGGCGTCCGGAGGCTCACCTCCTCCGCACACCGGTCTTGCAGCCTAGGCCACAGGCCTCGCTGTTCTGTTCCTCCCGATGTGGGTGCTGATCCCCGTCTCTGAGGGCAGCCGTCGGGGTCAAGGGGGGGCACGGAGAGCATTTTACATGTGACTGGTGTGTCGTGCTCACTCAGTAAGTGCTAGTTGGTATTTATCATTTCAGTAATTACTAAGACAGCAGAAACATACTAGTACTTGTTAACATTGGCTTGTGTCATTTATGTGTATATATGTTGAGATAGTCAATATATATATTTTTGCTTATTTTATTCATATAGATGTATGTGAACACATATGGAGAGAGAGTTCCAGATACGTAGTTCATATCATTTCAGTTTGCATGTGAGAATGACTTGATGCCTCTTTTAGAGTTGACATTGCGACTCTTAAGCTATTATTATCCTCAATGTAACATTGTTTAGTCTAATGTTTATGAAGGGTGTGGGCTTTGAAATAAGAATTCAGTTTCAATTTATTTACTTCAAGCTTTTCCCAACACTTTTTAAAAACGAAGCTATAAAACGAAATGTTACCAAAACTGAATTTTGTTTCTTCTCTTATTTTGTAGACGGCCATGGCAACACTGAAAATGACTTCCTTATTCTCACCAGACGCTCTCATGTGAGAAGATCCCCTTTGGACGGTTGGAACGCCTCCTCGTCCACTGGCCGGCATGGCAGGGTTCAAGCGCGGGTATGATGGGAAGATCGCGGGGCTGTACGACCTGGACAAGACCTTGGGCCGAGGCCATTTTGCGGTGGTGAAACTCGCCAGGCACGTCTTTACGGGCGAAAAGGTAGCCGTGAAAGTCATCGATAAAACAAAACTGGACACACTGGCCACTGGCCACCTTTTCCAGGAAGTGAGGTGCATGAAGCTGGTGCAGCACCCCAACATCGTGCGTCTCTACGAGGTGATTGACACCCAGACCAAACTGTACCTCATCCTGGAACTCGGGGACGGGGGGGACATGTTCGACTACATCATGAAACACGAGGAGGGCCTCAACGAGGACTTGGCCAAGAAGTACTTTGCACAGGTGGTTCACGCCATCTCTTACTGCCACAAGCTCCACGTGGTCCACAGAGACTTGAAGCCGGAAAACGTGGTCTTCTTCGAAAAACAAGGTCTCGTGAAGCTGACGGACTTCGGTTTCAGCAACAAGTTCCAGCCGGGAAAGAAGCTCACGACCAGCTGCGGATCCCTTGCCTATTCCGCTCCAGAAATTCTGCTCGGTGACGAGTATGACGCGCCCGCAGTAGGTGGGTTGCCTGCCGGCCTTTGCTCTCCCAAATTCTCCCGGCTGGAGCGGGGTTGGTCAGATTGGCTGCTTGTTCTTTTTTTTTAATCTAGAAATGGTTTCTCATAGAATTCCTGGTAAGTGCATCTTAATGAACAGTTCGGGTTTCGTATGAATGCCACCTGGCCCTAAAGTCGGCCGTGCATTCATTGCACCCTTTAAATTGCAAGTGTTTCAAGTGCATTTGTCAGAACAACGAAAGTGAGTAAGTTACCATGTAAGTAATCTCTCGCCTGCTTATTATAATTTTCGTTAAGGCTCTGAGCACTTTTCCAGCCCTCCTCGATCCTTCTGGTCACCCCCTTCCTGTGAGTACTTCCCACATCCCACACTGGAAGGGCACTGCGAACATTCCAGCACAGTGTGAGGAGTTTGGGCGTTGCAGCCATTTATGAATTGTGACCCCAAACAGAGCACTCGATCTCTCCGCTCCATTTCTTCATCTATAAAGATGGAGTTAGGCCACATACCAGTCCTGCATGATAACGTACAGCCAGACACTGCTTTTCGGGTTAGACTGGGTGTTCTGAAAGGCGCAGGGCTGGTGAACGTTCCTGGAAGACAGGTGCCCTGCAGGCGCTCCTGAGACGGGTGGGGGAGTGGGATTTGCTTCCTTGTTAGTAATGATGCCCGAGTGGTCTGGGAAGGAAAGTCGCTGCGGCAGAAGTGCTCTGCCTTTTTTTTCAGTGTTCAAATGCATGCTAACAAATGTCAGTCTTATACTCTATTTTTAAAAACAAGAACAATGATAAAACCAGGTAATGAGCCAATGACTATCTTTCGTCCACGGAGGTCAGAGCATTTTTAGCCTCCACCACGTTAAAAGCATATGCCTGTGTTTATCTTAGAGCAGTTTTCTGGTTTGCTTTTGTTTTCTCGCTTGTTCAATAGTGCCTTAAGTTCGGATGAAGGCTGTGTACACATGTTAAAATTGTGTTCTGAAGCATCTTTAATTCTTCTTTTCTCTGGCCTAACACATGACAATCGTCTCAAGATCCAGTGTGAATGTAGCAATGACTGCCTGGTCTGTCTGAAAAGAATCGCCTTGTCTTTGTGAAGAAGTAGGTTAGTAAAACATATGGTGAGATGTTCTGGACTGTTCACTCACATGCAGCTAATGGATCGTACTGTAGAATACGTGGAGATCTTGGCATGTCTGAGAGTCGTGGTCAAACCAGAAGCCACGTCGGTGCACTGAAGGCGGCCGTTTTGTGCTGCGCTGTGGTCCTGTGATAAAATATCTCAGCACACCCCCTCCTGTGAGAGTCTTCTCGAGAATCTAGCAAGTGGGTGGCTGCCAGAAGAATTCATAGCGGCATTATGTGTATAGTATGTTCAGGTATTCTCGGAAAGTTTTTTACCAGATCCCTCCTTCCTGTACAGGTAGTACAACCTAAGCTACGCTGCCTTTGTGGTGGAACTTTGAAGGAGTCCTAAAGGACATAAACGGATTGGAAAGTTCCCCGCTGGTTTACACAAATCTGCTGTTACGACTTATGTCATCAATCGGTGGCTCCTTGCTTCTGGTTCAGGTTTATCTCAGAAAAGCTATTAACGAACTTGCTTTCACAATGAGTCCCACGCTGCACCTTGTCAGAGTGCGTGCGGTTTCCTCTCCCCACTCGGAGTGACCCTTCGTTGGAGACGGTGTTGTAGCAGCACTTCAGTGCTTGGACCTTCTTGTGTCTTTCTCACACTTCCACTCTTTGTGCCAGGACGCATGGGCTCTGCCAGGTTCTAGGTCAGGAGATCTTAGGTCTGTGCAGCCTCGGGTCTGAGCGTGGGGTTCAGGATGATACATGCTGAGGGGTGATTGGTGCCTCTTGTCTGCACAGGGAGGGAAGTTGGGTCTGCTAAATGCAATGTAGTGCCTGCTTTCTTTTAGAAGGGACACATCAAACCTGCCTGCGCAGTAGGTGCCTGGTGGAAACGCGCCGCCACCTGGGGTCCCTGCATGGCTGGCCACACGTGGAGCATTCAGTTGTTGAGGACCAGAAAACGTTTCCATGGCAACGTGGCACACACCCTCCCAAACCCAGCCACCAAGGGCAAGGTCACATAATCTGAAAGATACCTTGTACCCTTTACAGAGTATGACGTCATCATTTGTCCTATAAAACCAAAAGCAAAAAAAGAATGTCCTCTACTAAACATTCTGAAGTTTCACATGCGTAATGTGAGTGACACATCTGAGTCATGACATTTAGTGCAGAAACCAGAAGTCACTGATCTGGGTGAACTCTGAGTAGAGGCACTTCGCTCAGACTCCGCCCCTTGTTCGCGTCGTGTGGGCTCTCAAGGCAAAAGTCCGGTGATTGCGTGTTTGGGAGGCCGGTCGCAGAGCTTCTGTGCCTTCAGTAAAGCCTTTTCTGGTTTATACATAAGCTGCTGTTGAACTTAATATGCGTGATAAAGATTCCTGAGCACAAAATGTTATGGGCGGAGTACTCTATAGGTGGCACTGAGGTGGTGATTTGAGGCTAAGTCATCATTGGTTTTTCAGGGACAGGCCTGAAAAGTGTGATGGAGATGATTTATGTGTTTTCAATGTTTTCCCTGATGCACTTTTGAAAAGTATAGCTTACTCTGTTGTACCAGTATATGGTAAGCTTCAAACAGGTGGTTCTCAACTCACCACCCATCCATTTCAACAGAACTGATGAAAGCGAGACACAGTGCCCTGACCGGTGTGGCTCAGTGGGTTGGATGTCATCCCATGAAGTGGAAGGTGGCCAGTTCAGTTCCATCGGGGCACATGCCTGGGTTGCAGATTCCATCCTGGTCGGGGTGCGTATGAGAGGCAACCCACTGATGTTTCTCTCTCTCCCCCCATTACCCCCCACTCTCTCAAAATAAATAAATAAACAAACAAAGAAAGAAATAGGATCTTTGCAACAGAACAGAACATGCCGACCTCGCCGGGGCCCCACCCCTGCGGGTTCCCATGCATCCCGGGTGGGCCAACACGCAGAGCTTCCCTGGGCAGACGACCGCATCCAGCTGTACCTGCCGGCAATTTAAACCCACAGATTCAAGTGTTTTTAGTTACTAGTGGAAAGACAGATTCCCAGTGTTTTAATTTTAATGTTCTTTAAAGAACAAGTGTTGGGGCGGTGGGAATTTAACCTGTAGCTTCAAAAAATGAACAGGAATGTGTATTTGTTCTTTGATGGTACTAGGTGAGCAAAATCCCCCCCCCCAAGCCCTTCTCCCCTTTAATCACACCCTGTGCTTGTTCAGGGTGAAGTTGCCAAGCAACTTCAGGGCCTTTGGAAAGTTTCCTGATGCTGTTGCAGTTCCTGGGACTTCAAGCCAGATACCCCTCAGGGACCCTGCCCTGCCTGTCCCCCGAGGAGCCCAGACTGGCCTGCCTTCCTCCTTCCGTGCCATCCCCTGGAGTTCTGGGCACATCGGGTCCCACGTCCCCTGGCCTTGTGCAGGGCCACCTCGCTGCCACCTCCAGAATTCTGTTCTTCACCCAGATTTCTAGCTCTGCTGCAGTTCCCTAAGGGCTCTCACTGATACTAACTTCCCAGGGCTTGTGTTTTAAGTGGGCCTAGTGCACCTCTAAGCCCTGCCCTCTCGAATCCTCTGTGGGGCGGCAGAGGTGCGCAGGGCTCATAGTTGGAGGTCCTATGTGAATCCAAGCCCCAAGATGCTTTTCATCCACATTGCAGACTGGACCCCAAGCTGTGAGTCCGGGGCTTTCATCTGAGGACCTAGATTGGGCTGAATGGCGTGACAGTGTGTGTCTCAGAAAGAAGATAAGAGAAGGGAGGGATTTCCTCGTAGGAGCAGGCTTCCTTTCCCCCCTTTCCTGCTGCCAAGGTGCTCAGGTGGCCACAGTTCAGGTGAGAGCAGGCCCTGGGTCTGTGGGCAAGACTGGATCCGGCATTGCAGTGGGGACGGCTACCAGGGGAGGGCAGTGCCCTGGGTCCCCAGACTGAGCTGACAGTGGCAGGTTCCCCCCCCCCATAAAGGGAAAGGTGCTCATCAGTTCCTCTGCTCTGTCCCTGTTAGTTTTCATGCCCCCGCCCCCCCCATTCAGCACACTTTCCAGGCCTGAAGGCTGGAGCCCTCCCACCGGCCAGCACAGGCCAGCACAGCCCTCGAGGCTGGCTTCCCCATTTCTTCCCTGACTTTTCCCTCCCACCTGTTCCCAGTTGCTCACTGTGGCTCCAGCCACACTGCCTCCTGGCTGTCAGTCACACTTGGGGCTCAGGTCCCTGCCACCTCCCATCCCTCGGCGGAGCCCACCCTCTCCCCACACCTTCCTCCCAGGCCTGACATCTGCTTGCAGGTGGAGGGCCCCACCCTGCCTTTCTCTGCCCACATGACTCATTTCTCTGGTCTCTGTCACTCCCCTCGCCAGTCAGTCTTGGGTAATAATTGTTTCTGCCCCTGGGTTGGTGTGGGGATCAGGCGAGGGGACGGGATGTGCGAGGTGCCCGTTACTCCGAGGTGGACCAGCCTGTGGCAGCCCGCGGTCCAGCTGCGCAGCCCCAGCACACTCGTGGGGAGATCACGGGAGGGGTCGTGTGTCTGGCGCTGGGCTGCAGTCCCAGCAGGGGTCTAAGGGTCTTCCGATGCTCTTTCTCCCCCTTTGCTAGTTTGTTCTTGGGAGGATTTCTGAAATGTTGGCTGCCGGGGGAAAACCGGGAGGAAGGGCAGGCCCGGGACCTTTGCTCATGTGTTTTTCTCCAACTCGATCTTAGTTGTATCGATCTTCATGAGTGTTAGGTGATTCCTATTTAGGGAGTAGGTTAACTTCTAAAGTAGGCACTTTTCCGAATGTGTGTTACATGTAAAAAATGAAAGGCCTGGTGTTTATTTGATGACTGGTTAGTTTCTTGGGTCTTTGGAAGAGCTTTTCAAACCACCCAAACGGTCACCATTTTAATACAGAAAAGCAGAAACCACTTCACTTCTCTTCCGATGGCAGCATAGGAAACCCTCGGGGAG